GTTTGTTTACCTTCAGAAACAGCTGTAGTTTGTTTGTTTACCTTCAGAAACAGCTGTAGTTTGTTTGTTTACCTTCAGAAACAGCTAAGCCTGTCTGAAGCGACTTACCGTTCCTCCTGCTGATCACCTCCACGATGGACGGGGGGAAGAACCCGACCCGGTCCGTCCCTCTGTGGTTGTCGTGGATGTGTCCCTTCCAGCGTCCATCTACGTGCTGCTCCAACACCTGAGGGACACCAGGGGTCAGCTGGAACTGTTTAGCCTTTAGCTGTAATGGTTGCAGCTGGTTCTGTTCAGGATCTGACCCAGCAGGTCTCACCGTGATCACGTCTCCTGCTCGGATGTTCAGAGCCGTGGGATCGTGGAGGTTCCAGTGGTCCTTCAGAGCCCGGACCTGGAGAATCCCCGTAGCRTCTGCAGGAAACACAAACATAGTTTAAAAAAGTCAAAGATGGAGAAAAAAYATCAAATCTAAAACAATCCAATTATCAAGATTACATCACTTCCTCCTGCTACAAATAGCTCCACCCCTTTTAGTCAGAGACAAACGGCCTTTCCCAATCAGTGGCTCCTCCCTCCCCCTACTCCCTACACACTACACTCTGTGAAGCCCCTCACAGCTGAACTGAGCCCCCCCTTGATGGCGCTGTATACACCCTCTGCTTTTGGGATGAGCTCTCCTCACACCACCGGAACAGGAAGCTGTCGTCACCATGGTAACAGTCCAACCTCTGGCAGTGACTGAATGCTGGAGAACAAACACGTTTTTTAATAGACCAGAGAAAATATTTAATTAGGCCCACAGGTTAGAGAGTTTTCAGATATGACTGTATTTGTAACAACACAGTGTGATAACTTGTCAAAATAATTACACTTTTAATATTTTCAAAAATCATTTATTTACTTTTTATTTTTTCCTTTCTTCTTTTTTAAATATGGACCATGTTTCTGTGTCTTTAATAAAGTTTGAACTGAACATAATTTCTATAGACTTTGTGAAATTATATTTGTTGGTGAGGTGTTTACTTCATAAATATGTGTACAAAACATATGTGGAACTTATATTKATACGTCCCGTGCTCCATGCCGACCCCTATTTGCTGCTGCACCTGCTGATCAAGTCTGCACTGGATGTAGACTCTCTGTGGAGGGCTTCATAAGCCACTCCCACTCGTACCTAACTGGTTTCAGATGGGACTTAATATGACCAACCCTTCGTGGGAACACACAAACTGAGTGAGTAGAGAGTAGGACGAGTGTGTAGCCACTGACTGGGAAAGACCCAAACTAAACATGTTTCCTGACGCAGCAGGAAGTGTCTGCGTTTGATCAACAGGAAGTCAACAGCTGAAAAAACTAAACCTCTGCAGGGCTCTGTGGACACACAGGAAGAAAAAAGGACAAACAGGAAGTAAAGAGGACAAACAGGAAGTAAAAAGGACAAACAGGAAGTTACGTTTGACCTCGGAGCAGTTGCTTGATGTCCCTGCTGGCGTGAGACGTGGTGAACTGGTTGACGATGTCCAGCGCCGTCTGGTTGTAGGTGTTCCTAATGTTCACGTCCACGCCGGCCTGAAGGAGGACACACGGAACTCAGACTTCCTGTTTACATGACCTGCAGGACCCCACCCTCCAGGACCAGCCCAGACCTGCAGGACCCCACCCTCCAGGACCAGCCCAGACCTGCAGGACCCCACCCCCGCCCCACAGTCAGACTCACGTCCAGCAGCAGTCGGACCACTTCAGTTTTTCCGTACAGCGCAGCTTCATGGAGGGCGGTTCCAGACTTGGTGGTCTTGTTGATATCGATCCCGGCCTTCAGGAGCAGCCTGAGAAACAAAACAGGAAGTTGATGGTGAAGACTAGCCATTAGCTCATCAGTCCTATCAGAATTAACCTTTTATTTCTCAAAACCTGTGTGTGTGTGTGTGTGTGTGTGTGTGTGTGTGTGTGTGTGTGTGTGTGTGTGTGTGTGTGTGTGTGTGTGTNTGTCAGAGGAGTCCAAGTACTCAGGTCAATGTGAGAGGAGTCCAAGTCCTCAGGTCAATGTGAGAGTAGTCCAAGTCCTCAGGTCAGTGTCAGAGGAGTCCAAGTCCTCAGGTCAGTGTCAGAGGAGTCCAAGTCCTCAGGTCAGTGTCAGAGGAGTCCAAGTCCTCAGGTCAGGTTCAGAGGAGTCAGAGTCCTCAGGTCAGGTTCAGAGGAGTCCAAGTCCTCAGGTCAGTGTCATAGGTGTCAGAGTCCTCAGGTCAGTGTCATAGGTGTCAGAGTCCTCAGGTCAGTGTCATAGGTTTCAGAGTCCTCAGGTCAGTGTCAGAGGAGTCCAAGTCCTCAGGTCAGTGTCAGAGGAGTCCAAGTCCTCAGGTCAGGTTCAGAGGAGTCAGAGTCCTCAGGTCAGGTTCAGAGGAGTCCAAGTCCTCAGGTCAGTGTCATAGGTGTCAGAGTCCTCAGGTCAGTGTCATAGGTGTCAGAGTCCTCAGGTCAGTGTCATAGGTTTCAAAGTCCTCAGGTCAGTGTCAGAGGAGTCCAAGTCCTCAGGTCAGTGTCAGAGGAGTCAGAGTCCTCAGGTCAGTGT